CTGCTGGCTGGAGAATTCTGGGAGTTGAAGTCCACAAGTCTTAAAGTTGCCAAGTTTGGGAACCACTGGCTTAAAATGGGAAAAGCTATTAATTGGCTATCACCACATTCATTCATTCATTCATAAATAAAAAAAATATAGCTCATAGCTCCACAAAAATATACTCCATATTAGTCCTAATGGTGGCGTAGGGTTGGAAAACAATTGGGTGAACAAATTGCATTGGTTTCGAATACCGAAATACGAGCTCTCCAGAGCAAAAGAAGCATTTTCGTAGCCCTCTAGCCTTTTGGTTCTCCTTCTGCCTCTCTCTTGTCTTTGTTATCAGCCAATTAAAGCAGGAGAGCTGGCCTCTTCTAGTAAAACGTAAGGCTGGTGTTTTAACTATTTCCTTTTAATTTAGATCCACCTTTCTAATATAAAGGAGACATAGAACATAAGTCTGCATACGGTTAGGTTACGGCAGAATTGCTTGGCTACGGAATGGCTCTTGCAAATAAAAAGGGCGATGGCTGCCTTGGCCTTAAGGCTGGGGATCAATGATGTCGCTGGGTTTTAAAGGCGCTGCCTTAATCCTGTTTTTAAGAGAGGGACGTTCACCTGGATTTCTTTGGGCCAGGCACTCGCTCTCAGCCCAACCCACCTCACAGGGTGGTTGTTGTTGTGGGGGAAATGGGAGGAGAAGTGGGGCATTAGGTATGTTCACTGCCTTGAGTAATTTATACCATAAAGGCGGGATTAGATAAATGAATCATGTCCGATTGTACGTCTGATTTTCATTAGTTGACTTGTCCAAATACAATTCGTACTCGCCCTCCCTCCACCTCCGCTCGGAGCATCCCTGCCCGCCATGCCTTCGTGGGGAAGCTGGAGAGGCTGGCTGAAAACAGCGTAGGAGTTGGGGGCTCTGCATCTGGCAGCATCTCCGTTGGAGAAAGCCGGGAAGAGGGACAGATGGCAGGAGGCTCCTTCCTGCACAGGCAGCTTCTGTCTCTGAAGGAGGCATCTGAAGTCTCCCTCCTTCTTATGACCACCGCTAGCCAGAGACCCACCCCTGAAGAGGGGCTTCCCAGAGAGGCGTCTTGTGCAATTTGGGGGAGAACTGCAGTGTGCAAGAGAGAGGGACAAGAGAGAGGGGAGGCACAGGATCCCTGCCGGGTATTTGCAGAATTGTTACCTCTAGGCCTGAATGCAGAACCACGGAGCCTTTTCTAGAATAGAATCTCTCTGTATTTGCTCCCATTCGGGGTTCTTGGTTTTTAGCTTCTCGGTTCCTGTTTTGTGGTGTTTTATTCTAATGCATTTTGTGTTTTTTGGAACTTGTCAGATTAAAAAGACAACGAATGAAAATAAAAGAACAGGAGCCCAATCCTACAGCTTCCTCACTGGCGTCCTTACTATTGAAAATACGCTCGCAGAATTAATTTCCCTGCACTGAACTGATTTTCGTTCTCTCTCTTTTTTTTAAACTGAATTTTTAAAGATGCACGTTTAAACGGAGACCAAGGTATATCCACCAGGAAGCTTATAGGTGATGAACAAATAAACGTTTCTAATTGCCCCCTTTTGTAAAAAAAAACATTCTTCAGAAGCATTGAACAGTAATCAAAAGAGGGAGGATGATGGCGGGGGGGGGTTGTTTCCTACTCTTTCACTGAACCCCCATCCCGGCTCCGCTGAGCTCATTTGAAATTCCCTTCATTTAGCCGCAGCGACGAAGCAACACAGAAGCTGTGGCCATTTTCCCAGCATGAATAATTTTCAGAGCATTGGAAATCTGGCCGACAGAGCAATTGGCACCGCAGAAGAGGTTGGCTTCCCATGCAGAATGATAAGGAAGGATTTGTGTGCCTGTGCGTATGTACGTGTGTGTGTGTGTGTGTCTTTGGGAGAGAGGAAGGGAAGAGCCAGAGGATGCTTGTTGTAATCCTGGCAGATGTGAAACTGGCGCTTGCTGAAGCCCCCCCTGAATTTGATTCAACTTTGGGGTTGCTTTCTCCTATGCGCTGTGTGCCTGTGAAGGAAGCAGTGAAACATCGCTCCCACGTGGGGCCAGGTGCCAAGGAAATAGGAAAATCCTGTCATTATATTTTCAAGCACGGTGTCCTTCCTCCTTTGAAGATTTCTGCCTCCATCTGTTTTATCATGCATGTCTGCAGCTTCGCTCACTTTTAAGGTATATATGGAGCACAGAATAAACGTTGATTTTTGCCTCCCTCCCCCTGTGTGCTTGCTCTGCCCCTTAGGACTATGTGCTAGCGGTGGAGACGTATCACACCGTCATGAAATACCACCCAGAGCAGGAGCCTCAGCTGTTGAGTGGGATTGGAAGGATTTTCCTGCAGGTATGTACCTGATTCTGAATCACGCCAGGTGGAAGCCCCACGGAGCCCCATTACATTAGCATTAACATAGGTTTTTAAGTGCCCTGATTTTAGATAGTTGGACGTGCGAATTGTGTCAGTCTGTGAAACAAAAATAACGGCAAAGTATTGCTGAAGGACGTAATGCAGATGGCTGCATCAGTGCCAAGTCAGTCTAGAACAGTGTTTCTCAATCTTAGCAACTTGAAGATGTCCGGACATCAACTTCCAGAATTCCCCAGCCAGCGAATGCTGGCTGG